ATTAATATATTTTGTTGTGAATTAGAATAATATGTACATGTTATGACGTTACTGCAAGTTGATGATGTTCGTAGTTTTAACGTGTATTGTTGTGTTTTTTCTATGTATATTATATAAGTATGTATGAATTATGACACTAATTCAAGTTAATAAAGTGTTTAATGTTAATATTTATGATTTTTTTTATGTTCTTAACGTATTTTTAAGTTGCCAAGTATATTACAAAATTGTTTAATTAAAATGGATGCTTTGCGAGTATAGAAGATGCGTAGGGGAAGCATCAAAAGAGTTCATAGGACGATGGTTCTACCGGAAGAAATATCTATTGGAGCACTCGAAATGGATAATGTATTAATTGATTGCATGCTTGAAGAGAAAATCAAAGGTAAAGGACATTGGACAACAACGACTTTAGATAACATGTTGCGAGTTCTAAGGGCTAAATTTTAGAATCACATCCAAATGAACCATATTAAGAATAGACAAAAGACATTGAAGATAAATTTTAGTGAGGTGAAAGACTTATTTCATGGTGCAAATGGATTTGGTTGGAATCCCGAGACAAAGACTTTTGAAGCAAGTATCGAGGTTTGAAGAGAGCTAATTCGAGTGACTGTCATATATAACTTTTATGAATATATTACTTTCAAAGTATATAATAAATTTCTCTTAATGTGTCGACAAAACCGAAACGCGAAAGTGGATGCATCATCCAATCAACAACTATGATAAATTGTATCGGATATATGGCCAAGATGAAGCTACTTGGAGAGGGTTCGCAAGTGCTTAGAGAAAGGGTGATGATGTGAGAAAGGAAAGGTTTGTGGAGCCAATTTGATCTCAATGAGGACAATAACGTAACATCGGATAGCGAAACAAATTGGGGGAATCAAGTGCCAAGCTACAATGCAAAAGTTAACTTCTATACTCCCGAGTATGTAGCTTCGCCCAATTCCGAAGAAACAAACTCATCTAGAGGCACTAAACGTAAATCTCATATGGTTGAAGCAATTCGGAGTCAATATGAAATGGTGCATTTAGGAATGAAAGAAGGAAATACAATTACGGAGAAGTCGTTGAAAATTTTAGAAAAGGGCAATGCAATACTGGAAGAAGGAAACTTCATTGCATACGGGTCATTGACCATTTTAGAGATGGGATGTCAAAAAAATTTTCATGAGGATGAGATATTCACCGAGCTTGAAGCGATAGGATTGCAATCTAGCTTCCAAATAAGTGCATATCGCTTTTTGGCTGATAATGCATCACTTACAAGACAATTCTTTGGGTTGCCTTGTCATAGAAGACTTGAATTTCTAACACATGTGATGGCTGAAAGAAGTGGTCAATGAAAGTAAGTTAATCATATACAAAGTTAGAGTATAATTTGTTGCTTTTTTCAATTATTTCAAATTTATTGAACTTGCAAACGGTTCCCTTATTGTTACTCAATGTACACTTCTATTTCCTTGTTTTTTTTTTATTTTACGAATTGGGCTACTTGTGTGTGCAATCAATTGGTGAAGTATAATGTAAGGGAACTTATTCGAATCACACTTGAATTTTTATTGTATTGTGATGTTCAAGTGTATTTAACGGCTATTATATGTGAATGTTGTCTTAAATAGTAATGACTTAACTAGAAACTCATGTAACTTGATTGTGGTAGCTGAACAAATTGATACTAAGACTTTCATAATTATTTGTAATGTGTATGTACAACTTGATCCTATAACTTACCTAATTATATGTAGTACTTGGGATAATGGATGTAAACTTGTATTGTGATGTTCATATCCTTTCTTTGTCAAATAATTTAGAGTTTTCATTTATCCATCCTCCGATCCAAGAGTTATTACTCGCTTAGAGGAAATGAATTTGTAATTATTTTTTTTATCGAGCTTAATTGATAAGATCGTGGATAGTGCTTGTGAAAGCATCAATTTCCATCTAATATGTGACGTCTACTTAGGATTTATAATCACATAAGAAAATCAAACTCACAACTTGAGAGTAATAAAAAAATAAGAATTCAAGCTAAAACTTGGGGGCCATGATTTATTTTTGTATATTAGCCTATGACTCTACATAAGAAATTTTCATCATTTCATTCCTCGATCCTTTCACATTTTTTGATCCGGTACTTCGGAGACCCAACACCTCCTCTAAAGCACCAAAATTAGCTCTCAAACAGACTACAAAAAGCCCCAAAACACCCTAAAAATAGCTCCAAAACAGACCCGACACCTACTCAAAGCCCTCGAACTCGACCACAAGCCGTTACCAATAACACCCTAAACCCTTACAGAGCAACCCCGTTGGATAGGTCATTTGAACCACCAAAACGGCTCCAAAAAACCCCCCAAACCAACTTGAAAACCACCCAAAAAAACCCCAAAACACCTTTAAAAAAAGCCTAAAACCAACCCAAACAGACCCAACACCTACCCAAAGCCCCCAAACTCAGCCACGAAACTCTTACCAATAGCCCCAAAAACCCTTACAGAGCAACCCTTTTGGACGAGTCATTTGAACCACCAAAGCATCTCTAAAAACACCCCCAAACACTGCTTGAAAACCACTTAAAAACCACTAAAACGGACCCAACACCTACCCAAAGCCCCAAACTCAACCACCGAAGCCGTTACCAACGACCTCTCAAAACCCTTACAGAGCGACTCCTTTGGACGAGGTCATTTGAACCACCAAAGCGACTCTTAAAACACCCCGAAACCAGCTTGAAAGCCACACAAAAAAACCCAAAAAAAAACCCTTAAAAAAGCCTAAAACCAACCCCAAAATAGACCTAACACCTACCCAAAGCCCTCGAACTCGACCACGAAGCCGTTACCAACGACCCCGAAAACCCTTACGGAGCAACTCCTTTGGATATGTCATTTGAACCACCAAAGCGACTCTAAAAACACCCACATACCCGATTCAAAACCACCTCGAAAAAACCCACCAAAACGACCCTCGAACACCTTTTAGAGTTACTGCAAAAGAAGAAATAAAAATTATTATTAAAAAACAAAAAAGGCTAAACATATTTTCCTGTCTTGGATTATTAGCATCCACGACATGATGTTGTAGGATGCATTTGATTGAGTCTTTTTTACGGGAAAATAAGCCTACCTTGGGCTTTCGGGAACTCTGTAAATTTTATAGTAAATTTGGAGTGTTCACTCGAGCAACAGGTTATGCCTATCTCGTCCAAATAAGCAATTTATCTCATTTTTTATGATTCAATTGACTTTCCATGATTTTTCGTAATGCTACAATATACTCTTTTTTTATTGCTAAATAGTAATTTTTTAATCCAAAAAAAAAAAGCTAAGAAAATGATGGGTAAAAGCAACTAACTTATTATATGCATAGATAATAATACATGTTATACATATTTAAATTAATTTTATGTTGATAATTAATCTAAATTAGCTATTGAATTAATTAATTAATTAACGATTATCGATTATTCTATGGAGACGATTCATTATCCATCTTATCATTTCGGATAGATGCTTACATGCTAGATTTTTATTTTATTATCATTTGTGCTATTTTCATGAAAAAAATATTTATACAAATTTATTATAAGTATTTAAATATAGAAATATAATCATATGAGTATTATAGTAAATATACAATACTATATTTTTTTCCTCTCTCTTTTTACAATTATCAAAACAAAGAAAATATACTTTTTTTCTTTTTATTTATACTCTTATTCAAACAACAAGTGAAAAATAGTTTTTTTCTCTCTCTTTTTCTTTCCTCTGAAGAGGAAACATCCAAACAAGGAGTAAGTCTGTTGTTAAGCTTTTTGATTTGATGCAATCAACTTATATTACGAGTAACAGTTAACCTGTTTCTTACTTTATCATTTATGATACAAGCCTTAAAAAAATATATATTTTTTATGAATGACTAGATGATTCATTTAAAATTCAATAGCAAAGAGGTTAATCTTGTTTTGGTATACTAAAACAGGATCCATAATTATTTTATTGCTGAAAAAAGGGGGAAAAAAAGTAATAATTTATTTATCATCCACCATCTCGCTCGACGCCAAGAATGGAACATATTCATGGGTTTCTTTGGGCTGTCAGACTGCCAAAACCAGTCCCTCTGGGTCCCTTTGATGCTTACAGAACTTAATGGACCTTATAAATAATTAACGAGAAGTACACCAATCTAAAGCGACTAATATTGGAATCCCGAGTTGCCACAAGTTTCCAATCTAACATAGGCTCTCTGCAATATCGCTTTGAAGACGAGAACAGATTTAGAGCTGGCTATTTATCCTCTTATCTATTGCTTTAAAAGACAAGAACATTACCGACCGCATCAAACATGTCGTTCATGTTAAGGGTGACCAAAACTGTTAAGACAATCATCAGGGAACAGAGAAATGGACAAGAGAGAGAGAATTTTCAACCCATTTAAACAAATGAAGCTATTACATTTGCTTAGGTTAAACTCAGGATCCAACATGATCCTGTAGAGTGGAGAAAGATAAAATAAACTGGTTGGTTAGATTTTACATCAACACTGTCATGGGTTAGTATCTGCCGAGACTCCCAGCATATATAGCTAGAAACTACTCTCCGTCACCAAGTTTTGACTCAGGTTAAACACTTATACATAATAAACAGTCCAGACCAAGGCAATGGCAGCATTGACTGCACAGCAATAATCAGGACTATGTACCCCTGCCTCTCTAGATGGGCGAGTCTTCTGTGCATTGAGTAATGGATCCTTGATGTAAAAGTGATCCAGAGAGCTGAGACAAACGAGGCTGGAAATCACGAATATACGAACATCACAGATTTGCAGTCACTAGAAAAAAATTCTGCAATAAGATTGGTCAGGTGTGGGAGCTCTTCTTGGCTTCATTTTACACATCGCAAAGGACTTGACCAACAATTCAACTGATGGCTGGGGACCAAACAGTTGCGATTCGCTTCAACAAAGTGGGAAAAGGAAGTACTGTATGGTCTTCAAGGAACAGGAGGAGCATTCTTGGGATATCTAGCAGAAGAGGGCATGCGCTGCAGAACTCGTGGAAACTCTTGCTTTAGACGTTTATTTGGCATCCCTTGCATTAGCCTATTACATTATAAATAATATAAAATAAGAAAATATAAACGAGAAAATAAAATACAAGCTGGAAATCCAAATTCCATGCAGAGATGATTTTTGGACTAGTAAATCACAAACAAAAGTGACAATGAGTCTACTCATTATTCAACGTTAGCATGGAACTTTAAGAACAAAGCTGCAATGCCTACTGTTTGTAAATTTCATCTTTCAGATTGATTTTCAATTTTGTGATGCGGAGCCATAACTGCAGTTTGCAACAAGAACGTGCCAAGTGGTGGAGATTGATAAAAAAAATGGAATAGTTGGTGTCAGGATATATAGTATTTTGTGGTAGCATACAGAACATTGACACAAATAATTATTAAATTAAGCAGAATATGAAATCACAAACCTAGGTGAAACCTGACGTTTCGCCGTATATTGACCACCGAACATTGTTCTTAGACTTCCAAGGGCCTTTTCAGCAGCCTGGGGAAAAGAATGTTTGGGAGCTCAGGCAGATAAAATCAAGGTTTATATAAAGACTTCAGAAAAAACAGAGAAAAATCCGTCCCACTAAAGATGATTCTGAGCATGGAGCGTTAAATACCTGCATCTTAGCTTCATCCCATGTTGACCCAATCCCCTTCCCCAAAACCTGTCCATCTATTTCAACCTAAGGTGTGATTAAAAAAAAAAAAAAGTTAAATGGAGCTGAGTTGAAAAAGGATTGATAGTGACAACAGCTGAAAGTCATATAAAGAGCAAAAAAAATATCACAAAAGCTGTTTTCTTCTATTTCAAACATAACACATAATTATCAATTTGGACTGTTCAAACAAGAAATAACCCTTGCTGTTTCCATTGGCTTAAACACTCCAAACACATCTAGGCCAATAGCATCTTCTTTTTTCTTGCATGGGAAAATATTACCGAACCTTTTATCCATGATCAAAGGATAACCACACAGACCAAATGTGCAAAATGAAGTCCAGGACAACATGAAATTTTCAAAATGCCAAGCCAAGGTGAAGGGATTCTGGTCCTAAATTCTTACCCACAAGTATTGCTATCCTATTAAATACTAATTGAGTCAGTTTCCTTGAGATGAAAACAGGAATTCTATAAGAAATTTCTTCAACATAATTGGCGGGAATTGTCAATATTTTGTGAATAATTGAAGTGCAAATATAAATGTCAGAAGGAAAAGATACCTTATCAAATTTCAAAGCAAAAAAGTGTGTTCAAATACAAACCTGTGCATGTACTTCCTCTCCCGGTATTGAATTAGATGACAGTGGAGTCTGTGCCAGAAAATTTACCCCAAGACCCTCCGTCATGCACTGAAGACATTAGATGCCAACCCATGACATTTCAGTGATAAAAAAAAAACTTGATAGCAATTGAAACATAGCAGAGGCATAACTAACTCCTTGGAACTTACAAATTCTTTGAGTGCAGTGACAGAACCCATTGATTTCTTAGAGCCTTCCAGTCTTGGATCCAGAAGTCTGGATGGCTCTGAAGCAGCTGAATATGTGGCCAGCTCATCTTTAGGCAATGGTTGATTCCCAAAAGAATTCATATTACCCAAGAACCCATTGTCATTTGCACTAGTATATCTACTTGAATCCCCAAGCATAGGCCCAGAATCAGGCTTCGCACGTGACATATATATGCCTGCAGAAAAATTGTCATAAGCATCACTGAGCAGCAGATGTTTGGACAAGAGGAATTTCCATTGTGAAGGACATTGAAACTTCAGATTTTAAGAACATTGCCCATGCAAAACAATGTATGAGACACATGCTAAGTTAATATTAACAAAGTACATTATATGGCATGCTTCAAGACATTTGCACACTGGCACATAATGAGCTCAACTTGGCTTCTGATTTAGGCCATAAGCTCAGAGCAATTTCAAACCGAAGGTTACGACTAGCTACAGGCTAGGTTCCATGCTATAAGCGTCAGTTACAATAGTAAGCACCAGATACAGCGAACGATAAATTATGTAGAAAGCTTAGCTGAGCAGTAGTATGATCCACTGGGCAGGCACAACTTGGACAATGCACAATGACAAAACATCCTCACAACCAGACACAGCTGATTCAACTCAATGACTGCATGTGCTACCAAGTAATAAGAAATATCATGGGGAGAAATCTGACCAGCTAACTTCTTAATAGAACCCTCAGCTGCCTGACGTTGGGCTTCCCTTCTTGTTTTACCAGTTCCTTCACCAACTTTCTCCCCTGCAAACCAAGCCTGCAAAAATAAAGAACAGGAGGGATAAGTAGTCATATCATTTCTCTATTCAGGTAAAATCAGGTCCTTCTGGACCTTCTCTCTCTCCCTATTTTACTCTCATTTTTTACGAAAAAGACAGGATGCTAGTAGTTATGAACTAAAGGAACAAATTGGATTTTATAGTTCCATGCAGCTCCCTAATAAACCACATGGAATTAGCAAATCCTTTAATTTCCTCGCTCTACAGGGCATTAGGCCCACTGGGTTCTTCGTAATGACTGTTCATCCTTTTCAGTATTAGAAAAGAGTTATTATTTTGCTAAGCTTGGTAAGAAAAAGGAAGTTACAGGGTAAATAAACAACGCTATCATAGTTCTATCTTTCATTTTCTCATTTAAAATGACTGGAATGCAGACTATTCGATGTTTGCTTGGGTGCAATTAGCAAAAATATAGATTTATTGGGGATCAGAATGCTAATTGGGTATCAATTTAAAATAGTACTGGCCTGGAATTTCTTCAAGTTATTTCACATGCTAGTAAATGTTGCCAAAGAGAAAAGGTTAAAATATACATGGATGGATCATCTCACTATATAGACAAACTAAACACTGTATTCCATGCAATTAAGAAAATAAAGGACTGCATGGTTCCCATATTTTAAACGAGAAAGGATCGATTAATTCTGATTGAATGGACACAAAATTCATATTACTAATAAAGCAACAATTTAATTTTTATGCCAAAGAGTTGAGAAAACCTCAATGGAGAACTGCAGATCTCTGCTAGCAACCAAAGCAGGCTTGAATTCCACCTGTAGATTTCCATTAAATTAAAGTTCAGAGAGACAAAGGGACGAAAAGAGCAGCTTAGATGGAACATAAGGGCTAAGGTGCATAAACTGTTCAGTCTGATTTTCACTCCAAAATAGAATCTTTGTCCCTTTACCTTGGTTCCACACTTAAGAGCAATTTCCTGTAATGCTTCAACTGGAGTTTCTGCACTTGCAAAAGCTCGTTCAGATTCCAAGTCAAGATCCCTGTTGCTGGATGATCTACTCAATGGAGTCTCCTCCCCTTCAAAACAAAAATATAACATCAGTGCAGTAATAAAATGCAGCAAATTGCACTAACTAAATCTATAAGGCAACCAAACCAAAAACGCTACAGCAATATTGCAAAAGTCATTGCAAGTTTTGTGAAAGCTGACGAAGCTTACATGTCGAACATATTAATAGGACATTCCTTAAAAAAAAAAAAAAATCTATAGGAGATTCAAGTTAAGTGATAGCTTTGGATCAACCCCACTCTTGCTGATGGGCAAAGTAAGGTTGATACTGTAAGTGATATGTTTTTTTGAAAAAAAAAACAAGGGAGAATATATCATCACTCACCTTGGAAAGAATGATAATTGGACGTTGAATGGTTTAGCCTCATACGATCATCTCTATAAGGTGCCTGCAAATAAATGATCATGTAACTTTGGTATGCTTCATCAGTTCCAGGTAAAAGTAGGCTAAAAGTGAGCACTGCCAAGAAAAATGACCTCTTTTGGCAGTCTTTGATTATCGTGAATCATTCTATCAGATGGAATATTACTCTCAACCTTAGGGAAAAAGGATGGATGATGAGGTCGGTGCTTTTCAATATCCATTGGATCCGAATCTAGAGGAAATTCTCTGGGTGTTCGGTTCAGTTGCCTAGGGCTCATCTCTTCCTCCACTGGGACCCAGCTTCCACGAGATTGCACATGTGGAGCTGAAACTTGTGATGAAGTTCTTGCGGGAAATGGAGATTCACTTGGTGCATTGTCTCTTGAATCTTGCCCATGTTGTAGTATAAGAAGCCGCCTCCTTGTATCAGGATCTAATTCAGATTCAGGTACTTCACCCTCTTCTCGAGCAGGAGAGCTTTGCAAGCTTGGTTCTGGAGGAACAACCTGGCCTCCTAACTGTTTAACTAATGGAGCCGCCTGAGGAAACTGTGTGCTGGGAAATGGCATCATTGATGGTTGTGATGGAGGCATTAGTGGTTGTGATGCTGGCATTGGCTGCTGTGATGCCAGCATCAACGGTTGTGATGCTGGCATTGAGCTTGAAGAAGATGCCATTGTGTACTGGAGAGACTGGAGCAGCCTTGGATCTAAGCTACTGACTGTTGAAGGAATTGTTGAGAGGATTGTTGAAGAAGCTGAAACTGCTTCCTGTTATAATAAAAAAAATAAAAAAGCATGGAAAGAAACCCATTTCAACTTGAATGCACACATAGTAGACGACAAAACATATCCACCTCAGTAAGATTAAGAAGTATAAAACAAATGTTTTCCATATCATAACTCCAACACTCCCATGGGCCATTGTAAACCAAATGAACATGTACTACTTTGTCTGAAATTGCAAATTTCCAAATGAACACACATGGAAATGCGAACATTTAAATACCTTCAGCCGTCTTTCAACCTCAGCATCTGCCATGCCATCAAAAGAAAGTGGATCTCTGTTTCCATTTGTAGCAGAAGCATCATCCTGAATGCCACAAAAGATTTGATTATGAACAAATTACAAAGACCATAGGTCTTCTAGGTGATCATAATAACAACACATCCGACATAATGAATTCAAATACAAAAGAAGTGGTCATGACCAACCTCTGAAACTAAGTAGTTGCTCACATCAGGAGGGGAAGGAATATTATTGGTATCATCTTCATATGCAACTTCAGGTATCTTCTGCAGAAGGCCCTCATCAAATTCTCTGTAATCACATTCCAAGGTCATGCTATGCCCAAACAATATCACAAGCATAAACAAAATTAACCCGAAATTAATTGGTAAGTAACACAAGTAGAATTGAAATATATGGAAGTGCCCATGCAAGTATGTGCCCTCTGGATTTTGTATTCTTACTTGAAGAAACCACCTCTGACATTGCAAGCAACATTTCTCGCAACACACAAGACTGGAACAGCATTATTTGCCTATGACACAAAGACTTAGGATGAGCGCATGCTAATACAACATGGAAAAAAAAAAATTGGAGTGCATATGCATGCGTTGTGTGTGGGGGTGTTTTGAGTGAGTAGTGTGAGCAAGCATCATTGCAATATTGAAGTTTCCACAAAGCAAAGTGGATATAGTTTATACTTCAGCTTGAGGAGCATAGTATGGAGCAAATGCAGGAACAACGTGCACGCGAGATTGATCCTTCTCATCCCACACTTTCAAGCGATCATCAATGACCAATGCCATCTTAGGGTGGCATATTCCATCTTGAAATACATTGAACAATGACTTTCTTAAACCTGTAATTACATGCACATATTAAATAAGCATTAGCAGAAAATGAGCATGTTTGCTCACACATTTTAGAACTTTCAACTTTGAGCAAAACGGTTAAATCACAAATTATATCCTCGACTCCATAACCAGCTAAAAGAGTAGAAGTCGTCTGCAAGCTGGATGCTGCTTACCTGACTTGACGCACACAATCCGATTTAGCAATTCTTTTGAGTTTATCAAGTTTGAATCTGGATCCAAAAGCCTCCACATTTCTAAAGCATAATCTCTTTCAGCCATTGTGCAAACATAAACCTCAAAGCGCTTGCGTCCTCTAGCAATCAAGTAGCTTCTCAGATCCTCCCACGCAGGTCTCAACCTCACAAGCACACTTGTATCACGAATCTACATAATAAAAAAGGTTCTTTGATTCTTGGACCAAAATTAATGAACATTTTCAGTACAAACTAACTATTATCAAACATCATCGAGCATGTAGACTATTTATTCCTCATACAAATGCCAAAAAAATCTAAATTCATTGTTCTAGCAAATAAAATCATTGCATATCTACTAATTGGCGAATAAGAACTCGACAAATGATAAGTTTTTCAAGGCTATGATTTGGAAAAAACAGCTGGACAGAGAACATCAAACCAAGGTTGCAGCACATCTCACTGTAGAATTCATAAAGTACACACCTGTGGATTGATGCGAGTCAAAATAATGTTCTTCTCTTGCAATCGTATCAATGGGCGAACCATGGGTTGATGGTTGTCAGACAGAGCCGAAACAACCTCAGACTGTGTTTTGATCACTTTTCCATTTTCAACAACCTGATCGTTTTCCACATATTGCTTCAAAATGTTCTTGTCATCCTGATACCTCTTGACCTCTGACAGCATACCCAGAATGCGCTGTGGGTCCACCTCAGTGCTTATTTTCCGCTGCAAAGCATCAATTCTATCTTCAAATGAGCGCATTGTATTTGCAACTATGAGAGTTTCATCAAGATCAAATACAATGCCAAGGCATCTGAGGTTCAGCATGACAAGACAAGAGTCATAAAGTCCTGGTGCAACATTGAAACCCCAGAAACATGGATACTGTCTTTCATTACTCCTCGAGGGCATTGCAACCAAATGGAGCTCCTCCCCTCCCAGATGCATTACTGCAGTCTGAAAATAACATCACCATCAATATCCAAAAAGCAAGAGGAGCATGAAATAAAAAGGAATAAGGATATCAATATAAATATGCTGATGTGCGTGATAGGTAGACATGTACAATGAGATCAGTGCGAACAAGAGAAAGCCTTCAAGAAGATGAAGCAGAATAACTAACAAATTATGAGAACTCGTGTTTCAGATAAAGGTTTTATTCATATTAAGGCCAATCATAACAAACCAGGTTTCTTCTCAAACTAACAAGAAGACAAATGTCAGAAAAATCATTCCTGCATACACATTAAATTTTCATTTTACATCAACAATCAATAAACCCTTCACAAAATGAGACATAGCCAGCAAACAAGCCTGCACTTACCTTCTGTTCAAATTCCTCAGCCATAAACCCAGAGTAAGAGAAGAATATTGCAGTATAACTATCCAAAATTTCAGGCTTATATTCACTCAACATTCAATTTCAGCAAAACCCCATAGTCGTTTATAAAAGCAAATATTCATCTCCATATGAAGCAGCTATATCAGGAACACATAATTCTCATGATAAATTTAGTTCTATTTTTAGCATGTAGTATTCACTTTCAAATTCCATGAAATCACATAGTCACTTCAAAGTCAATGTTCATGATGATTTAGTGGGAAAATATAGCAAGTTCAGGCAATTCTCATGATATCATGGCAAAATTGTGAAGAAATTCAGCTCATAATCATCTGGGACAAATTAATTACTTAAGAAAGTTCACAAATTTGCCACAAACTTAAGGTTCATTCACTGAAAACTGTCTGAAACAAAACTCAAAGTGGGTTCGGGGTCCTTGTCCAAAGCTGTCCAGAGTCCCCTGTACAACAAACCCAGTTATCTGGGTTACAAAGTTTGAAACATTTTCTTGGGTTTTGTTTAAATTGATTATTAAGTTCATTATTATTATTATTAACTGGCTATACCTTGTTTTCTTGGATACAGGAGGAGTGCAAAAGATGAAGCGGCGATTCTTGTTGAGAAGAGAAGATCTTTGTTGTTGTTGTTGACTCTTCCATTTTGAAGCAAACACCAATAGATGTAATTGTATGAAGCACTGCAAGTGGTGGACATCTCTCACTTGTTGGTGAGAAATGGCTTATTTTGATTTCCTTCAGTATCTCATCAATCACTCTCTTCTTCTTGTTCTTGTTCTCTTCTTCTTCTTGCTGTTGTTCTTGTGCATATATTTCTACTTCTCCCAGTAACTCCTCTCCTTTATACACCACTGATTTATACATCTTTTTTGCACAAAATTCCCCAGAAAATTTTTCGATCTCTTCAAAATTTCAAGCTCAGCTTTTGAATTTGAAGTCCATCAAAGATCATAAATTTCCATGAAAGAAAGTCATTATATGATCCGAATCCGATTTCTTTGAAATTGCAACAGGAAAAAGATCTCTTCGTGAGGGAAAATAGAACAAAATTAGGGAAATTTTTTGTTGTTTCAGCTCAGATTTTTAAGATGAACAGATAGATAGATCTGTAAATTGATGACGATGATGATCCAAAAATCAAAACCCTAGAAACTTCCTAAGATCGATTGATTGATAAAATTACCAGTCTAAAAGTCAAGGTGGTGCTAGCTAGGGTTTGTTTGTTTGTTTTTTCTTTTTTCTTTTTTCTTTTTTTTTTGTCGAAGATGGTGAAAGTCTGCAGAGAAAGGAGAGAAACCCTAGATCCAGATAGCGAAAGGTCAAAAATGGCACTCCACTGCGTTGTGGTTTGGTTTGATAAGAAATTATATTATATGAAATAAAATTACAAGACGACGGTGTTATATATAAAAAAATTAACCAATTAATTAATTAATTAAGGAGTACTCTGCTTGCGGTTTTATAGTAATTTCCTTATTTTTGGTCCGACTGAGAAAAAAACCCAAAAAAAAAAAAAAAAAAAGTCGTACACGAAATTTCTGCTTCTGGTGTTTTTTGGGACTTCTCCACGTGGAAAGATTTGAGGTTTTACACTTGACCCGTATAACTAAAGCCTAATTGAACAGGGCAATTCGACATGGATAAATTGATTACACAAAATTAGTCAAATATTATTGATACATTTATGGTCATAATTGATCGAAATTATTTGTTAGACTAATTGGGTTAGGATTGATCTTTAAAAAAGAAAAAAATTAAGTTTGTAAGACTTGAAGTAAATACTTTAAACTTCTAAATGCATGCACTTATCTCCAATACGTAACAAATTAAATATATATATTACAATGACTTATTTATGAATTGTTAGTTAAAGTAAAAATTTAATAGCTCGTTATTTGGATTGTATTTTTCTTTTCCTTTTTGGAAGGTCATAACCAATATAATTTGAAAAACTATGCTTCGGAATAAAATTTAAAATAAATAACAACAACAATAGAATAATTCACAAACATAAAATTCAAAATCAACAATGATTAAAATACAATTTATCTAATAATAGATAAATGGAATGAAAATAAATTATTAAAATAACCCATATGGGGTTAAATTTTGCAAAACTTTACGTGGGGGTCAGGATTTCTACGATATATTTGTCTACATCTTGGGAAAAAAATAAAAATAAAAAATTGAACCTTGGAGTTCAATTGACACCCTGGCTTACACGTGGCTAATGGCCTAGCCGGTGAACATAAGGACAATAGGAAATATTTTCCCTGTGAATTGATATTTATTTGAATCCAAAATAAACATTCCTATGAATCACTGGATTTCTCTTGGTAGTTTCAATGGGAAGAAAAAGAAAATACCAAAGTATTCTTTTAAGGTAATAAAAACAACCAATTGAGGGAAGATTAAATTATAAATTAGTTTCTCTAGTTTTTAAAAATGAATTAAATAATCTTTCTAATTTTTAAAACTAATTTATTAGCCTCTTTCGTTTAATTTGTGTTTTTTAATTTATTTTGTTTTTCTTAAAGAAATAGAAATTTAAAAAAAAATAAGTAAATATTATGAAAAGATTGATGAGAAAAAATATTTTTTACAATAAATTAATGTCAAATTATGCATAGTCAGCTCTAGTCAAAAGAGCTAATTAATTAGTTTTTAAAATTAAAAAAATTATTTAATTTATTTTTAAATAATAAATAGATATTATGAAAAGATTGATTAAAAAATAAATTATCTGTGGAGTAAATTAATATTAAACTAAGTCTATTCAATAAGGGTCAAGAAACTAATTAATTAATTTTTGAGATTAGAAAGATTATTTAATTTATTTTAAGAAATCAGAGGGACTAAATTTATAATTTACTCAGGGTGCGAATGGATTGCGTTTGGCTGATACGTGGCGAGTTCTAATTCGATTGCTGCCTATATGTTTTTGTGGCTGTCCATTTAGATTCCTTTAACCATTCATACGAGCTAGCTTTCTCCGTGCAGGATGTGTCTAATAATTTTTTTCGTGTTCCATTATTAAAAAAATCTTTGTTTTTATATTAAATTCAATAACGAAAAGAGTTGAGATTTGAAAATATAGTTTAAAGAAAGTCAACAAATTTTATTATGAAATTATTAATGATATGCGAAATTAGTATTTTAGTTTCTTGTCAAAATTTTAGCCTTAAAAAATGTCATAAAATGAATGATTATGCATGTTAAAAAATATTTGTATCTACAAACGGTTTTGGATTGAAATCCTTATGAATATAAAAAAAATTTGGATTATTGTCTTTATTTTGTACCTCCAAAAGAAAAATTAAAAACATTATTCATGTTCAATCTAAAGAAGTAGTAAAATAAATTATTTACCAATAGGGATGCAAATGAGTAGAATTGAACAATTCATGTGTTCAAGCTTGAGTTATCTAATTTTAGAAAAATTCAGAATTGTGGTTGTTTGAATTTATTAATCGAGTCTCGTTTCAAATTAACAAGTCTATAATTGGTCTAAAGTTTAATTATTGACCAATTATGTATTACTTATTTTCCTATATTAGCTAAAATAAAATCTTTTGTAATTATGTTTTTATTTAATGATAAAAAAATATTTTAAAATCAATTTATATGTCATATAAATTGAAATTGAATCTTATTCAGTAGTGATTTTAAAGGCTCGTTTACCTATTGATAAAAGAAGAGGTAGAGAAAGGAGACCAAAAGTGAAAGAACTGTAATAGTTGAGAAAGAAGACAAAAAGAGCTTAGTAATAGTAAAAAGCTATACAGAGGGGAGAGAGAGTTGCATTTGAACAATAATAAAAGAATTAGATGAGATGCAAATCAAGTAAGGTGTGACATCTAAGCCAAAAAAATTCTTATATTTTAATGAATTTGTGATTTTCTCACTTTTAAAATTAGTTGCCTATTACTTATTTTTAACAAGTAATTATCTAAAACTTATTAATCTTCTATTTTTTAAAAATAACATAATATAAAAAGTTTGAATAAGATAATTGTTCTCCACACCCTATAGTTTATTTTTTTATAAATTACATTTTACATCTTATATATTAAAATATTAGTTTAGAAAACACTTTGTATTTTGGTGCCGATGATGAATTTCCGACTAAAAAAATTAATTATTACAAGTTTGCCAAAAAATTTAGAATGTTTTTTCCAAACATTTTATTTTGAAATTTGACACAGCACAAAAATACTTGTTTTCAATAAGTTTCATGCGCAAGAATTCTTGAATATTCCACCTAGTCCTATCATTTAAGTCATGCTAAATGGTGAAATCATTAATCAGCATCTTGCGGTCTAATCTGGCTTTTAAGACTTCAATGAGCTTCTGTGGGAATTTCTCTCTAGCTTCACCCTGGGTACTGCCGTATAAACATAAAATTGGTGAAGATTCAATGCCAGAAAACAATAGCCAATACTACAGCTCAAAGATGTACAGTTGATAAACTATTTAAATAGACATTGAAGCAGAAATTAATGGAAGGCTTACACAATATAGATGTGTCCTCCCCAACCACCAAAGTAGTCCCGATCAACTGATGATAGCAATGTTTGGGATACAACTTCAAATATTTCATCAGGTTCCTGGCCAGTAATTATAGCAAACAATTATTTTCATGATCGGACGTAAAAAAGAGGCTTTCGTTTAGTAATCACAATACCAACGCCCAATAACATCACTACTTGCTTGTTTGACGCAGCCAGCGCAGGAACATTAACAAGTGGGATAGATGCTATGGTTCAAACTTACTTGTAAAGAAATTAAGCTTGAAATTTATGCTACTAAGAAAAAAGACACTGCAAAAGATTAAGTGAATCATGGTTTACTTAAATACGATTATATCTTTAACCATCAAGCATGTCAATTTGTCTAGGTCAACTTTATAACATATGTAATTAAATTAACCTACTCTGTCAGGCTCGAACAATGCTTCACATGCACCGTAAAATACTCAAAAGTTCACTACTAGAAACTAGTCATATACCAACGGATTTTTCCGTCATTTTATGTTAAAAATTTATCACTATATATAATTAGTGATGAACTAGAGACAATATAAATTTCGTCATTAATATGATTGTTACTATTTCCTTAAAGTCTGAAATATTGTTCCGTCACTAATTTTTTGAATTTCTATCGTTAAATCGATATAAAACAATCGTCTATAAGGTCTTATATCCGCGTCATGTTGTTGCTATTTTTGCTTATATCTCGTCACTAAATAGTGACAGAATGAGTGTCACTAAAATATAATCATTAAAGTCCTCGCAATTTTATCGTTGAATATCCCGCAATTTCATTGCTAAAATAACGAATTTTTTTTTAAAAAATCAATAGCCGTATATTGTTAATTGTAATAGCAAATAATTATAAACAACACTTTATTAAAACATTAAAAACTTATAAATTAAAATAAAATATATCTAATAAAATTAAAATATTATAAATTAAAATAAAATAAATATATAAATGTATTAGGGTATATAAAAACATTAAAAACTTAAAAAAAAATAAAAAATTTAGTTTTCATTATCATAATCTCTCGTATCATCTTTCGACCGTTGGGTGTTAAGAGGAACCTTTGACTCTTGAGTTGTATGAGGGTTAGGCTGGAGAGATGCGAGTTTGCTTGCGGGTTCCGTAACAACTCCATCACTATCCGCAATTGACTCGTATGATGTTAACTTCGATCGGCTTTTTGTTAGAAGGTAGCCTCCATCCTCTTGATCATAGATTCATATTGGACGTAAATCTCCCGAATATTATCGAAATGTGAGTAATATTGGGATATATGAGATCCAAGGCCATACACTCTTTGCTTCTTCTCTCCTCCAACAACA